ATTTTTTCAACTTGGGAGATCAAATGGATCCCTGTTTTTCTTTATTGTAACAGAATTGCTCTGCGCATGTATTTTATTACAAAAATTTTAAACGTTTCAGTCAACTTCACAAAATTTATATGCGGAACATTTCCATGAAAAACACGAAGGCTAGAAACGCTTTGGGAAAATGAAACTAATATTAATAAGCTCTTAAGACCTGAGTTCGTGCATTGGTGATCATAAGGAAAACTGCATAAAACTTGGTTCATTTATTTACAACGCAAACATTTTGGTCAATTAGACGAATGACTAGTAGCGACGTAACGACGGAGAGTATATGGTCCGAAACGTTGGCACTGAATAGTCATTTAATCGATCAAATTTGTTCACGTTGTCGAAGATTCAACCGTATTTTATGCTACTTTCAGGCTTAAGTATTGTCAATTATTTTCAACTTATTCGGCAGCGTTATACAAAACAGAAAAGATTCCAATAGAAGAGATACAGCAAAATGGTAGGGAAAGGTTTCAGGTTTCCACTGGCCTGGGTATTCTCAAGTTCAAACTGAAACTTTTGATTACAGGAGAATAATTATAGTTGGACGGATTCCGCAGGGTCTAGCTAATTTTACATAATACAATGAAATTCACCTACAAAAATACTTTAGCATCTTTCAACAACCGCCACCGGATTCAGACGGCGAAAACTGTACAAAAACCCACTTAGTTCAGAAAGATAAACGGCAATGCAATACGGAAGGCTGATATTGCGTCGGGATGATCCGCAATACAGTAGCCTAGGGTAACCGTTTAAACAGGTCATAGGTCTATGGCATTTAAACACCTACAGTGCATAGGACGCAAAACCGTGCAACTGAGTTGGACTGAACAAGAATGAACTCCATCGCCAACAAAATATGACGCCGGTGGTCGGGTAGGTACTAAGAATAGCAGCTTTTCGATTCTGCCGCAGGATTTGACACTCAAATTATCAATTTTTATAAGCTGCAGAGAAAATTTCCAAAAAAATAATGTATATATCAATCGATCATCTGCTATTTAAATCACCGGGCTGTTTTTTATGCATTGTTACGGAATCCAAATAATATCAGGACGAATATTATTACTGACGCTGGAAACGAAGCGCGTCGCGAAACCTTTATACGTCTGTTGAGCGTTAAAGCTTTCTAGTCGAGCGTCAAGAAAACAGTCACTTTCAGAAGATTCATGGGCCTAGAAAGAAAACTCAATTTTAACAGCTGTTCAAATCCATAATTAATTTCACCCCCCTATTCCTCAGAACGCGGTGGCACAGTACCACAGAGATCAGCATTGAAGTCCGGAGGTGACGGGTTCGAATCTACTCGATGAACAATCTTCGTCTTAACCTCGAATTCCGTTGAGCAAGGAATTAGTGCAACGCGGACTCGATACAACGATCCAAGAAACGGGAGAAAAGTCAGTGAAAAGTGAACAAGAGGGAATGCACGGTATTCCTGGTTTGGTAATTCCAACATAGACGAGGTGTACGACCAAGCTGTCCAATGCGAACACCATTTTGTAGCTGCATTTCACCTTAGTTCAGCTAAGGAATAATCAGCGTAGCGTGTAACCACGATTTCTAGTTTGATCTGTGTTCAAATAATTAAATGGACACATACAGCGGACAATCAATTATCAAAGATTTTTAATAAAGCCAACAATTCAATGGAAACATGCTAATCATCATTAAAACAAGATTTTGGCCAGTGTTTATGGGGCGAACAAATTTCATGCAGAAATAAGGTGTCGATAACTGCTGCCAGGAAGAAGCAAAAAATTTATTAAATGTTGTCAAAACTTGCAAAATGAACATGGCCTTTAACCTCGCGAAATACCTGCAACCAAAAATGAGATCTACTATATCACATGTATCAATAAGCTTATTCTGCAGGGCTTTACCTTTGTACCTGGCTTGAAAGGAGTAAAACATTTGCAAAACGCCGATTTTGTGCAATAGGAAATATACTGTCAATTGTTTGAATTCCGTAAGCAAGAAGGTACTCTGTAGAAAAGACAATAAGCCATAACGATGATGTTTTGAGTGGCAATGAGAACTGGCAGCTTTCCAATCTCGCTGGCAAATAAAACATGCCTAAACCTTACACCGCATTCACACAGCGAAAAAATGCCGTAGAAAGTATGTTAGCAAAATCTCTTATTTTGCAGCGAAGTTCAAGATAAATGAAACCACTTGCCATCGGTTAGTGGCACGTACTGTTGCTACTTGGCCAGTATGCTACTGTTCAGCCCAACTGGGCGTCGCGACTTGCTTCTTAGAGACAGCAGGTGACTTATTGCCATGGATCTGTAAAGCGCTTAAGTTGTTCCTGTAGATGACTAGAAGCAATGGAGGGATGGTGCATTGTTGCGGTAGAAATCAGGGTATAAATTTCCACTCTCACCGGATTAGTCTGAAATAAACAATACTTTACTACCTGATTTTGAACGGTCACTTTTCGCCGTATAAAGCCGGCAGCAGCATTTGAAAGGTACCTGTATACTGCAGGCTATTTTTCCTTCCTACTACAAATTGCTCACGAACTCAGCTGATTCCCATTTTTGTGAAGGAGGATGATTTCTCAATTTTGTTTTCTGCGGCCGCCTTTTGGGATGTGATGTTCTAGGTAACA